TCAACTTTCTCTGTTTCCTTTCCTGTCTTGATCAGAATGAGTTTAGAATTTTTTTTTCTTCTTTTACAAGATCACGGTGCTGAGCTTGACAGTACTTGTTGCTCCTGGTCCATTCCAATCAATTTATGACCGTTTGCCTGATTTTCCCCTTTTGTTCTTACAGAACCAAATGCTGGATTATTCTAAACGCAGCCGCAGTGGCAAATTCCGGCTGGTGACCAAGTTTAAAAAGGAGAAGAACAACAAAAATAAGGAGACTCATAGTAGTATGGGATTGCCGGGTACCAAGACTGCTTATTCATTGTGTCTCTTTGTCACACCAGTGTGGTCACACCACTACCTGTTTGTCTGTCTGTTTCCTCTCATGTTCTCTCTTCTGATTCACATTCATCTGCCTTTTCTTGGAGTTCTAGTCTGACTTTTTCACATAGCAAAGTAGCTTATTGCTCCCTTCTGTCTAAGTCATGATCCCCCCCCACTACTATGTAAATATTCCTGAGCTGAAACAGGAGGTACCCTCTGAAGCATTCTGTCTACATCCAGACATTTTCAGGGATATTTTAGGGGGTGCCTAGTGAAATGAATTTGAGGATTTTTTTTGAATTTTAGGTATCAAAATGACTGTGGGGCCCAAGTCTGCCTAACTCCAGTCTTTTCACTGCTAATGATGTTTTTTCTCATTGATTCACCCTCAGGCTTTAATCAAGTTTCATGTCTAATTGGCTGGGGATCAGCATCACCACAGGTGCACCCTGACCTTTAATCGTACTGGTCAGTAGATAAAAACTGGCCATGAATCAACAAATTGCTATTCAAGACACTTTCTCTCCAATTGGGTTAGTTGATTTTTGGTTTATATTCTCCTTATGAAGACTTTCTTCTTCTAAAATTCAGAAGTACTCCCTGTTCTGTGGGCTCCTGGGTTCTGTCCTTTACCATGGAACTGTGGGTACAGTCTCCTTCTGTCTGACAGGCTGGTGCTTATTCATTGCCTCCCAGAACTTGGGAACTTCATTTTTCTCTTATTTAGAGGCTATAAAAAAAGGTGGAAGTCTAAAATCTTCCTGTATCCCTCAGACTTGGGGAAGAGAGGTTGCTGTTTTGTTTACTGAGCACAAGTGCTTGTGCATAGTAGCAAACTAATCTGTGCTTGCTTCTCCATAATATATTTTTATAACCTTGTTGTTTTGTAAGCAGATTATCATCACTGAATTTACTCTTCTTAAACATGGGGGTAAACTTTAAAAAGCATATTTAATCCCATCAAAACAAACATAGACTTCCTCCTGGCTTTACTGCAGCTAGCCTCTGCTTAAGAGAACAACTCTTACCTTTCTCAGCCCTGGCTCCTTCATTTGAGATTGTAGATCATGCTAGCAGTCCTTGCCTTCCCCTTGGTTTGAGGCTGTGGTACTGCTTGCCCTCCTTCTCTGGCACTGAGTGCTGATGGTGTCCTCATCTCACTGTCTTCTGGGATTCTGGGTACTCAATGCACTCCTGCTTTTCCATCTCTAACAGTTCACCTCTGGGGAACGGAGGAGGTTGCGGCCTGGCTTGAGCATCTCAGTCTTTGTGAGTATAAGGATATCTTCATCCGGCATGACGTCCGGGGCTCTGAGCTCCTGCACCTCGAACGGAGGGACCTCAAGGTACTTTCATGATCGGCTCATGAGAAATAGCCAGCTGCATCTGCATGATCTTCTGTGCTGAATGTGCTTGGAAGTGGTCTGCCCACTGTTCATTACATGTGCCTTGGTGAGATGAATGGGTTCATTGCAGCCTTGTTTTATTTTCTCACCATTTCATTTAATAGCAGGGAAGTAGAACAGCTAGTTGAGAGATTAGCTGTCCAATTCTGCTGTAGCTTCCTAGAGATGTAGTAACAGTCCAGACTGCAGATTGTGTTCTTTAGAGTCTCTGACTTTAGTGATGGAATAGCAGTTTTCAACTTCTCAGCTCCTGTACCATCTTTGCAGAACATGCTGTGATAGGGAAAATTTGGTTCTTACATTGTAATCACTGGACAAACAAATCATCACACTTCTTTGTTACAAGAGAAAAAAAAATCATTGTGGTCTTTGATGAGGCTGCTAGATAGAGAAAATCTTTTAAAACAGTGCTTAGTAAACACACTGTGCAATTTTGCATCTCCTCACCAGGAGTTGTTTTCTCTATAGAGAAAAATTGAAAGTGGTGGTTCTTTGTACGTGCAAGAGACTTGTGTCATCATTCTGGTGACTTGCATATAGCAGAAGATAGTAGTGTAAAGCAGTGCATGGCATTTGTTGAATGCCCCTTGGATCTTCATTTGTGATTTTTCACCACCCTCCTGTAATGTGGTTTGCTGTAATTGGTGTAGCTGATTCCTCTGCATGCCACCCAGCTGCAGCCAGTGTTTTGTTGCATGATACCCGAGTGTTCATATATTTATTTGATGTGATGGGTTGGTTCTTCCTGCATGTTTTGGCTGCTAGTTTAGGTCCTTGAGATCTGTATGCTCTTTCTCATGCTCTTGCTTTGGCCTTTAACAGTTAAAGCAATTTGCATTTCTGGCTAATGGTCTGTAGTTGTTTCTCTCCATTGCCCTGTGCCTGTTCATTACCCTGTCACGCTCTGATAGCTTTTTGACACATGGTACGAGGTTCCGTATATAACTGTCAGGTTTGTAATTTTTCTGGTTGGTTTCCTCCTCTCTTGGTAACTGGCTGACTAGTTTGTAACTGTTGCTTGGCCAAATTTCCCACCTGTCTTTCTCCTAAGGTAAGGTTTGATCTTTTCTTCCAGGACCTGGGTGTGACCAAAGTGGGTCACATGAAGAGGATACTGCACGGGATCAAGGAGCTGAGCCGGAGTACTCCTGCCAGCGAGGTTTAGCCTCAGTTTTCACAGCCTGTGTCTACCATTCCCCCTAACTGCACAGCAGTCACCTCACAGAGCAGATGTGCTCATAACTATCTCTACTGAACAGCCAAGTTGTAGCTGTTCAGAGCTCATATCAACCAAGCATGGTGCTACCTTTTTTCTTGTGGGGTACGGCTGCATCTAGTCGAGAGGCACTTTATCTGCCACCAGGCAGAGCCTCCCGGAAGAGAACTCACTTGCTGTTTGAAGAACCATGTCCTCCAACGTGGGAAGTTCTGGTTCCAGTGACAGTGCAGGACTCCTGAGAATTGCAACACAGCTACCTTTACTTGATAACTTCATCACAGTAGAATTATTCAGGGCAAAAGATATATTGGCCAGTCTTAGATCAGGAGCATCTGACAGTCTTTTCAGACCCAAAACTTTGCTGTTCATCTGTGTGTCACACCTGTATCTTAGACCATTTAAGTGGGACAAAGCTTGACCTTGTGTCTTACTAATCCCTTTTTAATGCGCCTGTAGTTGCATGCGATTTGCATCAGAAATTCAAAGCCAGTACAGACCTCTTGCTGATGAATACCCAGTGATTCTCACTCACCTATGCCTTGCAACAAACAATGCATGTGGTTCAAGGAGCGGTTCACACCAGCTTGCGTGGTCTTCCGCTGGGCCTGCCTCTCCTCTTCCAGCCAGTGGCAATGGTACAACATTTAGGTTTTCAGGCATCACAGTTGTTCAGAAATTCCTGGCAGTAAGAAAAGACAAAATTCTCGAGAGCCAAAAGATTACAGGAGACCAGCTCTGACATTCCCCCTTCTGAATTTGTCTTCAGGAGACCAGATGAAGGAGAGAGGAGCACTAACTAGCTGTGTGGGCTGTGCAAGAAATCTAACGTAATGGAGTGAGATATGGAACAATTTGCTCCCTCTTTGTGTGGGGACCAGCATGACTAGCAACGGCCAGGAGCAGCTTCCAGCCCATTTAGCGCCACCCTTGTGGCCATAGACAACAGAGCTGTTTCTTTACTTCAACTTGCAGTGCAGAAAACTATTTCTGTCACAAAAGATGAGATTTATCTGTAGTACTTGCATCTTTTCACCTGTCTTGGTTCTAGTGGCTTTTCCACCTTGATTCTCTCTCTTGCTGCCTTGCTCCTTCACTCCAAGGTGGATATCAAAAGATTAGGGATGGTCAGTCCTCCTGGACTGTACCCCTGAGAGAGTTACTGTGTGCTGTCAAACATCAGGGCTCCTGTAAGAGCACCGAAACTGTTACTGAGCCAGATGAGCATTGTAATGAAAACTGGAGTGTGGTGGTAAATTGCCTTTGGTACCACCAGCAGTGGAGCATGGAAAAATTAGTGCCTCTGAATCAGAGTTCCTAGATGGCCTTCAAATTTCCACTGTATTGCCTGACCACAATTGAGTGACTGTTAAAGCCCGAAGACCAGCATGCATAGTTACATTGCCATGTTTATCACTGCGAGGGGAATTGGGGAACATTCAGTGCTGTAAAGTTGGAGAAACAGCAGGAATTTTTAATTACTTTGATGGTTTATATGTTTGGGGTTTTTTTTATTGTTACAGAGTGGCATCTGTCTGGCTACAGCTGCAGACAGAAAAATGGCCACATGCACAGTGGCATAAAATGTAATTTCCTGAGGACATCGTTGTTCTTTGTTATTTGTAAGGATTTTATCATCAGCTCTCTAAACAACAGTTAGTCAAGTTATTTCATGTAAAGACTTGTCAGCTTAAAAAGGTTCTGGACTGATTTCATCCTGGGCAAACTCCATTGCATTCTTTAAGATTTCCCCATGAATTATTCTGACTCTCCCTATCTGTTTTTAACTAGTTGTCATTCACACACATTCCCTCTCAGCCCAGCAAGTGACAGGGTTTGCTCATGAGAAGTTAACAGAAGAGTAATCGTGCTTGATTCAGCTAGCAAAATTTCTGGTGTAAGTACTGTGGGGACTGAGCAAGAAATATGTTCAGCTGTGCCCTGAATTTGTTTCTCCTATCTATGCATTGGCAGTTGCTTCCATAGCCATATTTTTTCTTTATCAGTACAGCCC